ATGCAGGCCAGAGGACAGAAGGGGTATCAAATCCCCTGGAACTGGAGTTAAGGACAGTTGTTAGCCCATGTAGGTGCTGGGAATCTAACCTGGATCCTCTGGAAGAACAGCAAGTGTTCTTAATCACTGAGCCATCTCTCCAGCCCCCATTTATACTTTTAATTTATTTTTACTTACATGTATGTATGACATCACACATGTGCAGGTGCCCTCAGAGACCAGAGGGTGTCTGATGCCCTAGAATCAGAGTTAAAGGTAGTTGTGACACCTGATTTGGTTTCTTTTCCTGACTTATTTTAGTTGATTTATATAATTTCTATTAAATTTCTCTGCCCATGAAAGTTATCAAAAAGGTTTGGAAACTGTAGTGTGTTCCTGTTTTCTTGATTGTTGCTGAAATATTTTGTAAGATATTTTCAGGCTGACCAGTATCTTAAGATGCGGTCTTGAAATAATCAAGGAACTGAAAGTGCTTGGTCTCAGGACACACTTCCCTGCCTCTCTGTTTGGGGTACAGTTCATTTCTTTTTTATGGATTTTCAAATAAACAATTTGTCAATATTATTTATTTTACTTTCTATAAACAGTATTTCTTCAGATTTGCCCATGAAATAACCAGTTATCTTTTTCCTAAATCTCTCGCAACCATCTCTTCTGGGATCCTTTCCTGTCTTCCTAAAATACATGCTTCAGAAGTTCACTTAGTCATGCCCATGATAAGATCTTGATTTCATTTTCTCCGTTTCATTTGTGGAGTAACACAGATGGAAAGTTCAAGACTAAATGAGGACAGTAGTCCCTTTCAACCAATGGAGATTTGTTTCCTGAGTAATAAAATCTGGGGTGCCCAACTCCCTTTTAAAAAAGTGGTATAGCATTTGCAGACAAGCTATCCTCTTTATCCTGTGTACTCTGATTAGTGACTGTAACAAAATATAAATTCTATGTTATAGTTACTAGACATAGGTATACATACTATACATCTTTCCCTATGTTCCTTAGGGAAACATGCAAGAAAATCAGGTATGTTTGCATAGATCTCATTTCTCTCCTTCAGTGGCAGGGATCAAGCCCCAGGCCTTGTACAGGCTTGACTGGCACTCCCCTAGTCTTTTGGCTTTGTATTTGTTTGTATTTGTCTTTTTTTTTTTTTTAAAGAAAGCTATTTGAGACTCTAGATCCAGAACCTGGGAATAAAAATGTCTACTGTGCTTTGGGAAATCATTTCCCTGTATTTTGGTTTTCCTTATCGCCACCCTCTCATTCTCTTTGTATTTAATATCTGCAATCTTACTAATCTGTACTTTGGGTTAAGAATTTATGCAAGTTTATGCATTAGACATTTGTTGCACTTGCAAGAATTTTTTATTTTAAACTGTCATGAATATGGGGACATTTTCTCTGTCTCACTCTCTGTCTCTGTCTCACTCTCTATCACTCTCAGCTGTCTCTCTTTCTTCATATTCAGAAATATTCAGACTTGCACATTCTCTACCTTTTATCTACACTCACTCTTCTGGTTTAATTTTCTTAGAATATTCTTCATAATGCTCACTCTCTCTTCTTTCTCTGTAACTATAACAATTCAAGCACTTTTCATTTCTTCTCCTATGATCACTAAGCTCTATTTCATTATTTCAATGTTTTTCTTCATTAATAATGAGAGGATTAGAAATAGGTAACCACATGAGATTTTATTTAAGATACACCAGCTTAAGACAATTAAGAAATGTGATAATCCAAACGTTAACAACAAAAAACCCTTAGAATGTATTATATGAGACTCTAAAAGAATTAACTTTTAAAACTTGAAAAGCTAAGTCCTTAAGGTCTATATTTTATAATTTGACTTATTCATTTATTTCTTCTCCTATTCATTTATTGATACTGTGGTTGATTCTAAGGCCTCACACATGGTAAGCAGTGTTCAATCCCAGTTTACAGTCTTGGTCCTTAATTTTGGTTTTTAAAGTTCACAATTTATTAAATGTAAAAATACATATTTAAAAATATATTGGTACGTAATAAGAATGGATGTTTTTAAATTGAAAGAAAATGTGAAATGCTGAATTAAATGTTTATCTCTGGACATGAACTAGATGTATGAGATGAGGGAGCCTTGGAGCAACCTATGCCTCGGGTTGGGATACTGGAGAGGTATTTTCCTTATTGTATGTTGTGCCTTATGTAGAATATATATCAATTTCATTTTTCTTTAATTAGTACATTAAGACACATGAAAAAGAAAACAGAATTGATCAGCTTTTTAACAATTAGATACCTACATTCTGGATTTCAAATCTATACTCCAAATTGTAAAACTCAAACTCAAACTCTTTACTCTTAACCAATATCCATATTATCAATTCTGTTGGTTTTCTCATTTTTTAAATTGTGTTGCTTTTGAAATAGTTTATTGCTTCAAACTATTTTTTCTCTTGTTCTCATGCTTTGTAAAGACTGTCCATAAGTTCTCTTAAATTTTCTTACATATAATATTTAAAAATTTTTAAAAGCTCTCACTAGCTCTATTACCACTGCTATAACAATCCACCATTTCCCAGTTCTTGTGTACTATATGGGCCTTCCAACCGGTCTCCCTGGTCTTTCTACTTAGAGCAAGAAAGACTTATTTAAAAATTATCACCCTACCACACACACACACACATACACATGATTAGATCTCTTATCCTTAAGAGCCTCTGGCAAATTCCCATTGAATTTAACCCAGAATTAAACCTATTTGGTCTGACACCCACCAACTTTTCTGCCCTGATTTTCTAATACTACTTCTAGCATCCCTAGCTTGGAAACCCAGAAGAGTGACAGTGTCATGAAAATGTTTAAGTAAACAGGGAAAAAGGCTAATTTCCTTTTCTACTGTCCATGATAAGTACTAAACTGTTCTCAAAATGTTCTCCTTTTACATCTGTACTTTCTTTTGGTGCCACTCAAAAAATACCTATATGCTGATGGTGAGATGGCTCAGGGAGTAAAGGCACTTGCAACCAAGCTTGATCATTTGGGTTTGATCCCTGGGACTTATATGTGAAAGAGAGAACCAACTCTGACCTCCATATATATACCATGGCTCCTGTGCTTTTCTCTCTCTCTCTCTCTCTCTCTCTCTCTCATTCAATAATAAATAAATTTTAAATTACTTATTTACACATGCTTTTCTGTCTGTCTTATTTTCTAACTCTCCATGCTTTTCCTGTTTGTTTTGATTTCTACATAGTACTCACCACTATAGATAATAATTCCACTTATAGTCTTATTCATCTACCTTATGTTTGTTCCAATAAAAAAATGTGAGCTCCACAAGACTGATTATTGCATCTCACTAGCTTCTTTATGACCAGTGTTATTTCCAGTGGAAGGCGTAGGATACAGTGAGTAAGCGAAGACACAAGCATGGAATGCAGTGCCTCCCTACTAAACCATGCCTTGTAATGGCGGTGCCATTATTTCAGGTTTCCTTTCATGAAGACAATGTAGCTTACATTTTGTGCTCTCTAACCACTTGTTGCTTCTTTATGTTCTTTATAAAGTCTTTTTTTTTTTTTTTTAAAGACAGGGTCTTCCTGTGGCCCCAGCTGGCATGGTACTTACTTTGCACACCAGGCTGGCCTTGATCTCATAAAGACCTGCCTGCTTCTGCCTCCCCAGTGTTGGGATTAAAGGTATGCAACATCGTGTACAATATTATAAACCATTCTAATCACTTTGTAAGACTGTTGAACTCATTCCTGTTCTGAGCTTCCAAAGCACGTTCTTTTCCATACGCCTACTGGAATGCAGCCTCCCTAAAGGCAAAGTCTAAAATGCAAAATGTCCTCAATAGAAATAATTTTTATCTGCAGTGTTCATCTTATTCTGCAGTATGTGTCCTAACTAGTTTTCTTGCCTCAACCAATCCTTCTTCCTGATAGGTCCTAACTATTTCAATCAAATTGATTGAGATTCTGAAATTCAAACTTTCTTTATCCTGCCTCACATTTTCCATCATTTAAAACAATGCATCAAAAGTATATACCCCTAAATATTGATCAAATGTATGTCCTTTTATATGAAATCACATTGGTTCTCCCAATAGAAATAAACAGCAAATATATCTTCATTAAAATTTAACATGGTATTGCCTCATAAGAAAATTCTTAATACGATAGTCATATTTGAAATCTCCTTATACTGTTTTCTAATACACTGTTAGTTCATGACTAAAATTTGATCTTAAGATTAGGAAATGCTCTTTATAATCCCTATAGCACATAGCAATAAAAATAAATATCTACTAAATTATACTTCAGTAACTAGACTTC